GTTACTCATCGGACATACAAGCAATTGAAAGTGGGACCGTCGCTCATCCATCTCTGCAAAAATTAACACCATTTTTGCACAAAATGAAAGTGGGAAATGAGGATATTAATATTCTTCGAGTTGGCGGACGATTAACAAATGCTCCGATTCCGTATGATGCAAGATTTCCTGCCTTGTTGCCCAAAGACCATCGATTCGTCAAGCTGTTTGTAGAGCATTTGCATCGAATTCATTTGCACGCCGGTCCAAAGGTGTTGTTGGGCATTTTACGCCAGAAGATATGGATAATCAATGCCAGAGAAGTAGTTCGAAAGATCGTTCGAAATTGCGTGCATTGTTTTCACTATAAACCAAAATTATTGGGGCAAATAATGGGAAATTTGCCAGTTGATCGTCTTCGAGCTCAACGTCCATTCATGGTAACTGGAGTTGACTTTTGTGGCCCTTTCATGACGTCGTATAGAATTCGAGGGAAGTCGCCCTACAAAACATACGTAGCAGTTTTCGTTTGCTTCAGTTCCAAAGCTACCCATTTGGAACTCGTATCGGATTTGTCAGCAAACAACTTTATATTGTGTCTCAAATGGTTCGTGGGAAGACGTGGAATTCCCCAGAAGCTTTTTTGCGACAACGCAACTAATTTCGTCGGAGCTTGTAACAAACTGAAAGAGCTCAGAGAAGCATTTTTTAATGATGAAGTTGCCCAAAAATTGAAATCGATTTGCTGTCAAATGGGTCTTGAATTCAAGTTCATACCTCCACGCGCCTCACACTTCGGTGGATTGTGGGAGGCAGCGGTAAAATCCACAAAAACGTTGCTCAACAAGAACATAACGGAGTCGTACCTTACATTTGAAGAATTACAGACACTGGTAGTCGAAATCGAAGCTATATTGAACTCTCGCCCAATTGCTCCCATGTCAGACGATCCCAACGACGGCGAGGCGTTAACACCAGGCCATCTTCTTATTGGTTCATCTTTGGTGGCAATACCTGAGCAACATTTTGATGTTACCAAACCATCGTTACTTAATAGATGGCAACGTATTTCGTACCTCAAACAACAATTTTGGCAAATGTGGTCCAGGGATTATCTTCTGTCTCTCCAGCAACGGTCAAAGTGGTTCACCGACGAGAAGAATATTAATGAAGGACAATTGGTCATCATACACGAGGACAACACACCCCCTCAGCAGTGGCTCTTGGCTCGAATAATTAAAACAATACCAGGTCGTGATGGAAAGGTTCGAGTGGTCGAGTTAAAAACGAAAAATGGAACATCGTGTCGCCCAATCCATAAAATAGCCCCTTTACCAAGCGCAGAAGATGTTTGAAATTTTGGCATTTCAACGGGGGGAGGATGTTGGAGGAGATTATTTTATATATTTTTATGTTTTACTTTATTATATTAAATTTTAATTCATTTATTATAATTTCATATTTTGTTCGGCCCACCTTAATGTTTTTTGTTAATTTTAATAATCGGCCCACCCTAATGTTTTTGCATTCTTTTTTGTCGCCCTTTTTGTCGTTCGTCTTGTTAGGAAAGCAACAACAACAATATTCAAATATTGTTTGAATATTTGCTTGTTACTGCTTTCCTAGTTCTTCGTCGTAACAAAACAACAACAATGCAGTGATCTGTCGTTGACTGCATTGTTGACAGTTTTATATGTATGTAACATACATATTAATAACTGTCCTTTGTTTTGTTTTGATCGTCAATTTGTTTTATGTTTCAATTTCGTTTTGTTCCATTTGTTTTGTATGTGGCCCTACAAGAAGGGAATGCAATTATGCTTTAGTTAGTTGACATTTAGCCGGCATAACACACAACACATTAAATTTGTAAATTTTTAAATTAAAAAATCAAAAGTGTTTTCTTTCGGGAAAAACAAATTAAATAAAAACCTTTCTGCGCAACACATGGTAAAACCATATATTAGGTTAACCGTTTACATGTGGCAAATAAAACATGATGATTTAAATAATTAATTTTTGCTCAGAATTAATATTTAGGGTTGCCAGATCGCAACAAAAGTAGGGATTTCGAATACCGATACTTTTAAAAACACCCAAGATGAATTTTTTGAATTATTTTTTTTATATTTTTGTCGCACTTTTTTCCTCCTATCCTTTGATAAGGATATCAGCAGGATAGTTGGCTTTGTGGGGTGCGCCTCTGTTTGCTATTGGGAATAAGAAGAAGCATGCATATTTACGATCATTCACAATAGTCAAACCATATGTCTGTGAATAATGTCAAACAAAACACGACTGAGAGAATTGGAATAAATTATAAACAAAAGAAAAAATATGATGACAGGAGCCTTTCTTCCTGATTAAATGGATAAATTTCGTTCCTTTTTGATTTGACGCTTGATGAAGATTGGTTGTGTGGCCCTGATTGGAGTGAAGAAAATACATCTTTTTTTAAATTCCATTCGAACTTTTTTATTGTGGAATATTGTTTTTGAATTTGAAAGACAACACAAAACAGCAATACAATACAAACAGAAACCAATTGAAGGTGCATGAAAATATTAAACATTTGAAAAATAATTTTGCTTAAAATAAAATTAAAAAGAAATATCAGGAGCCACAGCATCGCACATCCAATCCAACGAGGGAGAATCAGCACTTTATGGCATGACCAGTCCGGCATGCCCAGGTATCTTGCCAAAGCGACTACCTACTTTAAACTCTGGACGGACAGACGGACGACCAGCTTCGAATTTAATATATTCCAAAACTGATCTTGCTATAAAAAAAATTGAACAAAGTTAAAGGGTGAACAAGTGCATTTTCTTTATATCAATTGTGGTCACCTGTTGTTTTTTTTATTGTTCTATTTCGGGGTTGAGCTCAGGCCAGGATTAGGGACCACCAACATAGACAGCCTTTGAAGTGTAAAGGCAGACACGCCTTGGTTGCCTCTTTCTGTATATTTGAAACATAAAAAAAAGAAATTAGAAAATACGAAAATACTGGAATGTATTAAAAAAAGGCTACTATATACTTACGAACATACCATACGCGAGCTTGGGGAAGATTACCCTGAAAATAGTGGAGAAAAAAATATGGTAATTAATGATATAATTTTCTGTAAATAGATTGAAATGTATTTGGTGTGAAGAATATCTTAGGAAGGTGGTAGGGATGTGGTAAAGGAGAGGAAGGGGTAGGTCAGATTAGGGACACAAAAATGTGTCATGGCGAGAAGGAATCTCTGTGGGTGGGAGTTTCCTCGGCAGGTTAACCGTCGGGGGAACAGCTGTTTCTATACTTATAGGTTTGTGTAGTTAAACTACAAGCATTATTTTCTAGTTATTCTTTTTCCATTTTCTTTTTCTGGCATATTTCGGGTTTCCCAATATTACATTAACTTATTTCAATTAAAAGCCCGGTATGATTTAGTTTGTTTTTGTACAGCCGTATCGTTTATTGGTTGGCAAGAACCACCCCTCATCCGGCGAGCTTTAGCCGCGCAAAACGCCAGCATACCGGCAAAGCCAATCAATGAACATAAAATATAAACCTTTTCAAAACACCGGCAGTTACAAACAATCTATAATTTGTAGAATAATTTACTTGAAAATCTTCTTTAAACTTTTGAAATAGTCCACATGTGCTTCATAAAGACAATAGAATTTAGAATTGAATATTGAAAAATATTAATATTTTCGTTTTGACGTCTAATATAATTTTGTATGTATGTATAGGTTTCAAAATATGATTTGACAACAAATGGTCTGTTCCCATACTGCAAGAATCTGCTCGATTTTACTATTTTCTTCGATATCATAAAGGAAAAAAGTGTTATCGGAGTAAAAAATAGTAGATTCTTGCAGTACGGGAACAGACCAAAACTTTATACTCACCTGTGCTTACTGGCCGACCTTATATAGGCCTTGTTCTAAATAAATATAATTTGTTGATAATTTGTTTGTTTACATTTTTCTGTCTAATAATGTTGACACTAGTAAAACTTACAACAACAAATTTCCATATGGTTGTTGTATCGTTTGTTGTACAACAACACTTGCTGTTGCCTTCTTTTATTATACCATGGGTCTGAAACAAACAATATATGAATTCAAAAATATAAGGTATGTTCCATGGCATAATTACAGAAGGTAGTCTCATGCAGACATGTGAATCCAATTTTTTCATAATTTTACTTTTGACAACATTCAGCTTTTAAAATTTAAATGAAAATATCCTCCTTCGAAATGTACCTTCCTATAAATGGTTGCTTTTATAAAAGAACAAGCTGGGATTACGCTTCACTTTTTTGTATTGGCAAAATACAAATCATATCCCTAATAAATCCGCCAACGCGACAGAAGTTGTAGACGCACGGTCAAGCAGTGTTACCGCTGGGAATTTTCGTTCACTTGAAAAAATGTCGTACAGGAAAGCAAATTTTTCAATAAAACTGGTCCGAGAATATGCCAGATACCCTAGGAACTCAAAAACGATGTATTCGTTTGAATTCACACATAAAAAGGAAAATACAACATAACAAAAACGGGGAAAAAAGTCGCAAAAAGCTTAAAAATTGCAAGCAGACTTACGGGACATCAACAAAGTTGCAAATTGGGTCTTTAGTCACACCCAGACTGTAACTAGCAATACCGACAACATCGTTTTGTACATTGGTTGTAGGACTAAATATTTCGATTTCTTACAAGTGGCATATGGGTATAAAAGGTGTTTATGTAAAGAAGCTATAAGTAGCTTCTGGGGAGCATATCCCTATCAAAAATTAGCATCAGTGGCTAGATCCGAAATTATAGTATTTCATTGTTCACCAAGGGGCTGTCACCAATGCCATACATTCACTACCAATAAATAGTTGTTTTTATATAACTATAACATCATAACATAACATATTTATATAACTATAACTATATAACATCGAACTGGGGTAACACCTGCCTATTTTGCATTAACAAAATACAACTGATATCCCAAATAAGCCCACCAACAATGCAAAAATCAATAGAATTTAGTATTATCAATGGGCCAATATTTATTACATCTGTAGTCCAATTCTGTAACTTTTTTTAATGTTACCAACAAATATCGCTAAAAGTAAAACACATATTTTTCATATAAAAAAGGAAAAATTATGATAACTTTTTCATATCTGTCGGTTGGGCTTAACTACAACTTTATTTTGGTCGTTAACTTACCGCCTATTTTTTGTTAATTAACGAAATTATAAGCAAATGAAAATTTCATGTTATCGACAATCGTCGGTAATTCTCAGGGATGGTCCGTGTGGCGAATTTTTAGATTTTCGTCCGTCAAAAAAGTGTATAAAATATAGTAAACGTCATTTATTTGAATATTTTTACCATATACATATATATATATATATATTATAATAATATATATATTATTTTTACATATATCTGACTATTCCCTACTAGAAATGATAAAAAATTCTAAACTCTTTGAAGAAAAAAATTTTGGAATTTGATATGGATTTGAGTAAAGCATACGTAATTTCCAAATTTATTAATGAAATATTTCAAAAATCGAATGGGTTTCCGACGTATGTAGAAACGTCGGAAATTTATGTCATTTACGTTACTGACGGACCATATCTGGGAATTCTGTCGTTAAGCAGTTAAAGAATAGCTCTACTGATGGGAATATTTTTTCGAAAAATAATTTTTGTACATTTAATATTTTGAAATATATGGTCTGTCCCCGTACTGCAAGAATCTACGCGTTTTTACTATTTTTTCCGATATCATAAAGGAAAAAAGTGTTATCGTAGTAAAAAATAGTAGATTCTTGCAGTACGGGAACAGGCCAATAGTAGAATTACAATAAATGTACAGACCGACTTACATGGTTACATCGCCCTAGAATTTATTGCAAAATACTTTGTTGGGCAGAAAATGACACGAACCTCATAATATTAAATATTTATATGGGGATGATACCCCTGAAGGTGGAAAAGGGAGATTTGTTGTCAAATCTAAAATATCAAATTGCAGCCAAGTCGGTTATAAAACGTGTCTAAAACAGGGTATACAGTTATGTACGAGCTGCACCTAAATGTGAGCTCGGTTGAGAAATATGATCAAAATTCCGCATCTGTTTTTATACCCTTCACCACACTGTGGTACAGGGTATTATTTCTTTGTGCATATGTTTGTAAGAGGCAAAAATAATCGAGATAGACCCATGGTTCCTTTTGAGAAAATGCATAGAATCACTTTCTAAGTCGATTTATGCATGTCCGTTCGTCTGTCCATGTTAAATTGTAAACAAAGTACAGGTCGCATTTTTGGTTCGAATTGGGTGAAATTTGGCA